AATTGGCAATGGATCAGGTGCTTCTTCTAGTTTATCCCAAATAGCCCCTTGGATAGCGAGGTAATCGATGTCGGTTAATGCAGTGTTTGGGTAATCTTCAGATATTACAAAAAGTTTGTATGACACCGTTTCGGAAAGATCATGGGTCTTAAAAAGTTTCACAGTCACATCCTCTTGCTCTGCTGGTGAATTGCAGGTATAAACGTTCGCTTCGCTGTAGGTTCGTTTTTGTTTGATCTTCGACTCAGTTGAGATATATTTATTTACTGAACCGTCATGGCAAGGCAGATTATTGTCCCCCCCAGAATACGTGGGACAGCCTGAGACTAGCTCAGGGAGGGATTCCCCAGCGCTGCTGGAACCCTCCTGGGGTAATTTCTCTTTTAAATTTGCCTCCATAATGTCTATTTCCTCTTCCCCTTGTTTTTTACGAAGTTGTCTCTCCGGCCTCATGGTCCGCGGGAGGTTGAACCTCCTACTCCACTGCTATTAGCAGAAGAGCGTTCCCCTATCCGCCACCTGGGGACGCGGCCTCTAGGGTTAAGGCTACCCCGAGGCTGAATTAACATCTAATCTTAGACAGCCCACACAATAATAAGAAATACTAACAGATTTGGTGTTAAAGACATTTTGACAATTTCGAACAACCTTACAGTGGTTAGTAGCGCGTACGTGTTACTTATCATTGGTATTGACAGAAAAATATCGAAGGATTGTAATGATGGGGGGCAATTGTAGTAACCTCCCCGCGTTGCCCCGTGGAAACGGTGCATGCGATAACGTAGCCCGGCCCGGTTAGCTACTACATTTCTGACGACCAAACGGTCGGTCTTTGAGGAGACTTGGCGCCTTCCTTCAGACTACTGTATTTCGCCTGCAGGCTGCAATGAGCGCATTGAAGGAAGAGCTATCAAAAGCTAAGACAAAGTCATCGGGCAATATAGGACCCGGCACCGGCGGCCACGGCAAAGGCCAAGGAATATAATGATGAAGGTCTTTCTCTATGATCACAGGCGTGAAAACTCAACTTCACACCACATCTATTCTAACAACAACGAGAACACATCGGCATCTTGTGATACAACCACAAAGCCTCAACATACTGAAAAGGATTGTTAAAATGTGAAATGTACAGAATCAGACAACTCTATACAGCGCTTACAACGTCACAACTCAAAAATTTCAAAAACTTATGGAGGATACACTGCGGGGTGTGCCTGGCTGTGGTATTCTGTGACGACAATTGTGTCACAGGTGTTGATACACCCAAGCATACGAGTAATTTGCGAACGGTACTTGACGAGGATACGTAACACAAACTATTAGTTGATTGCACGCGCGGGAATTAAGAGACCAAATTACCCATTTAAATTATTTTTTTGTGGCTCCTTATACGCCGGCGCCTTCTTCTGAAACACCATCCGCCAAGCACCAGCAGGCGTCGGCGGAAACTTAGGCGAGTATAAGCGTAGCGTCGAGGATACCAGACTTCTGGGCTGAACCGTGACTCTGGTTTGTCCCGTTTAAGGCTGTGATAGACTTAACGACTAGGGGATGTGATAAAACAGAACCTAGTCGCCACCAAACTTTATCTGCCATACAGCAAGTCAGCAACAGCTGCTGTCACCGCCACAAGAGAGACGGTATCAGAATGTAAAAGATCGGCTCCCACAAGTAATATAGGTCTGAAACGCGTCAATTCCAAATTTTTTTGGGGGAGATGAAACTGGGCACACATAAGCCATCGCAGCTTCTCCGTCTTGGCCCGAAATAAATTACCGGACTCAACGCTGCAAATAATGTGGGCCAGACACTTGTCGTCGGCAGTTCAGTTGTCCTTGCTGTCACCGAGGTCAAGAATTTGGAAACGGTGGCGGACAGTTATGAAGGTAATCAGGCCAGTAGAAATAGCCGAAATAAATACTCAGGCACATGGTAGCAGCAGCGGTCTCTAATGATCTGCTGGAATTATTTACCAATGGAAATTTGCACTTGGAATAAAGTCTGTCAATTAGGACACCTTGGTTAAAAAGGAATTCAGAGTACCCAGAATTAACAACAGAGGTTTGAAGTGTTTGATTCCATTTGCCGTCATTCCGTTCATTTGTCGTACTTGTGCAAGTTGTCATTTTTATCAATGGCCCAAATAAATCTTTCTCCAATATGTAGCAAAAATGAATCAATGATGGGAGAAATTAGTAACTCAAAAACAAGGGTAACCTTCGCATTAACATGGACGAGTATTTTTTTTTTGGTTGATTTGTATAACATGTTTCAAATTATGTATCTTAATTTATTTTTTTACTGAGATAGTTTTTGCAACCTCTCGCAACCCCCCTATTGCATAACAACAAAGGTGGTCATTACATAACAATAACTATGAACTGGCAGCATTGGTCAATTTGTTCATTGTAAATATTTCAAGAATGTTTACCTCAAGTCAAGCAAAACTAAATGTTGTGAACCACAATCAATAAAATAAGTCATCATGAATTGTTGCAAAACATAAAATTTGCACGACTATTTCTGCTGTTATTTTTGCAGTTTACAATACTGCGACTTACGTAGGACAAAAATGTAAGATTTGCATGCTATACATTTAAGATGGCATAAGTACAACTGAAAAAATGTAATAACACCCACAAATTTGTGAAATCCCCTATTTAATGCAAATGACGCTGCAGTGACAAGTTAAGACGTAACAAACTTATTTTGATGTTCTCCAATTTATTTCTTTTTCAAACCAATAAACTACTTTTAGACATAACATCACAGCAGCACAGTAGACTCACGACAAAAACGAAACACAGACATGTGATTCTTTGCCCTTTTGTCGTGTGACTATGGCCTTGTGATTTTAAGTCTAATTCCGAATCCACACATTTATTTAAGAACTATAGTCGACGGGCGCCCGCAGTGAGTGTGCGAGCGCAACAGCAATATAATTACGCGTGAGCGATAAGGATGGGTAGCTTGGGGTCATTGGACAAAATTCTACGTGCACGATATTTGAGACTTTTGATAAATTCACTGAAAATTCCAACATTGGATTTGCAGAGCGGATGATATTTTGGATATATCCGAATTAAAGGCATACATACTTGTGTCAAGTTTTCTAAAATACAATGTTCTTTTTAACAGATCGACGATGTTTTAGACATAACATCACAGCAGCGCAGTAGACTTACGACAAAAACGAAACACAACTGTGATTCTTTGCCCCTTTGTTGTATGTCTATGGCCTTGTGATATTAGTCTGAAATTGAAAACAACAAAATCATAGAATTCACAATTACTCTGTTAATGAAAGATGTTAGATTTAATAAATGGAGAGAATGGATTTAATAAAAGATAACAACGAAGAATAAAACCTTTAAATTAACAGGTTACGACGATATATGCGGATATCCACATCTCATTCACAAATCGCATGAGCTTAAGGGACAAATACGTTTTAAATTATTTCAAAACATGAATTTATCATTGTTCAGACCGAAAAAGACCTTTGCGAGATCTGTGAAACTCATAAATGTAAAAAAGTTTTGCGGGAAAAATACATATTTAAATAAAAATGCATCAAGAGCAGAAATTACAATCTGATCAGATCATCAGATGAACCTGACAGAATCGCGTTTTGACAGCTCAAAAGTGTTTCTGACAAAAAATAGCCCATTTCTGATAACTAGACTCATTTCCGACAAAAACTAGTCTATTTCTGACAACAACTAGCCTATTCCTGAAAATAACTAGCCCATTTCTGATAACATACAAAAAACAGATACAGAATACGGGATTATATCCTGTATTTTTAAGCTACGAGAATCAATCTAACTCAAAATATATTCAACACTATAATTGGTCAAAATATTGATATTTCGCCATAGATTTTGTATGGCAAAGCTATACAAAATTGATAACCAATCACAGACTTGAATATAAGTTTGAGTTTGAATCGAATATTGAGATTCGTTTAACAATACGACCCAAGTTCAAATTCTTAAACGCGTCTCATATTTTACAAACGGAATGTTTTAAAGTTGAAAAAAATACCCATCTCATAAGATGTGAGTAGGAACATCTAATTATAGGTATATTTTTATTACAAATACAAAAATTCAATTAAAGGCATGTTTGTATTGACCTATTACATAGGAAAAGTTGGTACAGTCAGTGTCAATTAGTTCATAACACCCAAAGTTACCGTCACGAACTATATGACGCTGAATGTACGTACTAAAGTAAACAATTAAAAATTATGTTACTGTAACTTAACCTGTATTACACTTTTGGATAGTGACCAAGTAATAAAACTACTAATATAAATATTTTATGTCATACTGTTTGTAATCTTAAGTACATTGTTAGGTAGTCACAGGGAAAAATGTCTTGTAAAGAAAAATATTTTGTCACATTGCTAAATATTAAGTAGTTGCTTGATTATTAAATATTTTAATATAGATAAACAAGACCCTGCCTTTAATAAATACAAACATTACAAATAATTTCTCTAAAAGTTGATTTTAATTTTACAAATTGTCATTGTATGCAGTCAATAACGATATTGACCGGGCTGATATTGAATTTGAATATTATTTTCATTGATTAACTAACATACTTTGCATCCCACTGCCGACCAGAAAGCTGTTACTGTTTACCAAGAATCATATGATAGATTAATATTTCGTTTCACAAGAGATTTTTAATAGCCGATTGCAGACCAACCAGTGGTCATTTTACTCTATAACAAAGGAACAAAACACATTTCAACTCATATCTACACTCGCAAGCAAAAATATGGAATCACCCTAATTGTTTCGAGCGATCACAAAAACTAAATGACTAATAGAAGACAAATAAAAATGGTACCGTTTTAAAGGTAATGTTATAAACTTTAAATCAATACCAAAAATACATACATAGCCATTCAGTTCTTAAAATCGCTCGGTACAAAACACAATTCCATACTTTTGCTTGTAAGTATAGAATCTAACTTTACTTGCTTTTCATTTACCGTCTTTATCAGTGCAGTGGGACAAGTTATTTGTCTCATAGAATCAGTTTTTCGGTATTAATCCTACGCTTCAAGGCTAGCAATAGCCATTTTCAAAGCACCTTCCCTGGTGACGTTGCCTCCAATGAATCCGGTGCTATGGCAGAACACACAGCCTGGGATACCAGCCACATCACTGAGAATTTCGTCCCGGACTCCCCACCATTTTGGGTGAAGGGGCTTCCTAAAATCAGTAAGTTATATTTAATATCCAAGGCAAAGAGCAAGATGTATGATTAATAAAATTTGAGATTAGTCATAATAATAATGGCTTGTAATGAATGCTTATGAAAGTATACATAGTAGTTACATAGAGCAACAGGATCATTTCAGTTAAAAAACAACAGACATGTATTTGATGTAATAATATACAATGTTAGCAGACATTGATAGTTACATTTCCAGGAAATACGGGAAAATTACTTTGTTTCTATTACTGTTTCCTAATAAAAAGATAAAAAAGAGAAATTTTAATGTAAACCAATAATAAATATGTATTAAAATTGACTTTTGATGTAACTCACCTTGTAACAAAACTACTGGCATACTCAGGAATCGCTTGTACTCTCCAGGAGTTAGGTTTATCACAAAAAATGACATACTTTATTTTCGGTTCCACCGCTAACTCATTTTCCAAATCAAAAAAGTGTTCTTTCCATGGAAATCGCTCTTCAAACTCCATGATTTCTCCCGACTTATGAATTTGAAAGCGTTTGTCTATGGCACTTTTGACGAAGTCACGTGCCGGAAGCCAAACATTAACAAGATAATTGACCGAATACAGAAACTCTTCACCGACTAGGGCCATGGCTTTGGAGAATATGTCATCTAAGTTAACTTCCTGTTTGGAATTCCATTCTGGGTTAAGTCGGGCTACTCTCGAACTCAGATGAGTACGTATTTTGTACTTTGGCTCTTCAGCAGTCATAGGAACACCATTATCAATAGCATCAATTTCTTCGATGAAATTCTCATATACCTTCTTGTAGACGAGTTTCAAATCGTCTTTGTTAAGAAGAGCTTCTTGAGGAGCCAATTGCTGTATTAACTGCTCCCCATAATATGTGTAGATTAAACCAGCTGAACTTAGCCTAAAAATAGCATTAAGTTTTGAGTACAAATCATAATTTACTTGTGCAGTTAGGTAAATTATTGAATAATAACAATAATGTATAAGAACCAGAATAACTGAAGTTTACCAAAAAAATAACTCCTCATTCACTCATGTCCAAAATAAGTTAATCTGTGCAACAACTTACTTGATTTTGTACTTTTCTCCAAATTCAGGGCGCAAGGAGCTCAGGCTTTCGTTGAATTCGCGTTGATGGTGGTCATAACGCTTCTTTGTGTGGTCGAATACAGCTCCAACGTCTACAACTATGTCACATTCGCCGAGTTTCTCCGGGCTTCTGGTGCGTACAATCTCAGCATCTTTGTATTCGGGAAGCAGCTTGAGCATGTAGCAAGCGAGGACATCGTCGCAATGGAAAACACCATCGTGGGTACCGATCTAGAAAAACAATCGTTTATTGAGAACAAAGGTTGCACAACTTGCACACAATATGGAATCCTTAATTATCGATTGCTAGGGCGCAAGTTAGGCAAATTAATGCTTAAATGCTGTGAATGTGCCCCGCGAATGCATGAGAGAGTGAAATCTTAACCTCACAAGTGCATAAACTAAAATATTCACCTTCATATATTTTGTTAGTAACGCCCCACTTGAAACAAAATGCCTCTTAAAATTCCTGGAAATGCCTTCAAGTGGCGTTTTACAATAACCAAAACTACTCAGCCTAACTAAGGACTTTATCAACATTACAACATGTAAAAAAACCGCGTGCTTAACGCTGTACTTACAGTTTCAACAATACAAAAACCGCTAGCGTATCCACTTCGTCCTCCGCTGATTTCGCCATTTTGTTTTTGTTCAGTTGTTGGCAAGACGATCAATAACAGTAACTAACAGTGAAGGTAAACCCGGATTTTGGATAAGCTGCAAGCAATTATTTATATTATAGTGTTTATATTTATTATAATGTATGAAATACTTCAAATAAACTATGTTGTTTAGATCTTGTGGGTTTGGTGGGAAAACTTGGCGGTTATTTATTGCATTACATTGTAATTTTTAATCAATTTCATTGTTAATCATAAAAATCATGATAAATTGAAACATTCAATTAAATTATCTGACATTGTCCATTTATACCGGTTCACTACTTCACTAGCAAACCAGGTACAATAGTTTTGAATACAAAGTATAGATGGCGGTAGGATTGCGGAAAATAATATGTACATCAATAATAGATGGCGCTACGAAGTTTTAAATACAAATTACAGATGGCGTAAGCATTGCGGAAAAAACTACGTAAATAAATGATAGATGGCGTTATCAGTAGGAATTAGACCATAGACCGGCGCGTGGTTTACAGCAAGATGTCATTTTTAGGGTTCCGTACCTCCGTCCCTCAAAAAGAAGAAATGGAACCTATTTAAAGCAATGTTTTTCAACCTTTTACATGACACGACCCATTTAGTATGAAAAAATATTTGGCGACCTTATAATGTTACAAAGATGTAGTAGGGACCGAATACTTCAATCCATCCAGTCATCATTTACGCATTTGGGTCATTCTACCGGCCAAGAAAATCACGTGTCCGGGGCCAAAAAGTACCCGAATATCATAATATTTTAGTAACAAATATTTTTATCTAATAGTATAACTTTGGTTCTTGTTGTTAAACCACAGAGATAGTTAATAATAGTTAATTAAGTAATTTAAAAAAAATCGTAAGTCGTCAAAAATNACATCCCCAAGCAGGCTCTAGATTGGAACCCCCAGGGAAAATGCAAACGTGGTCGCGCCAAAAAAACATAGCGGCGCACTGTTAAGACTTGGAGCGAGATCAAACGCGAAGCTCAAGACCGAATGCGATGGAGGACTGTTGTGGACGCCTTCTGTCCCATATAGGAGACATAGGACATTGAGTCACTAATATTATATGTATAATGTATATGTATGTTTTTTACTCTTTTACGCAACAACTACTTAACAGATTTTGTTGAAATTTTACAATATTGTCGTTTATACATCAAAATAACAAATGGCTAGTTATAATAACATTTATTTTACCATAACTTAAAAAAAACCTTAGAAAATAAAATATTTTGTTTTATTTTTGATTACTCTGACTCCCAACTTTGATTACCCCGACCATGAAAATTTTGATGTCGCATAACTTTTTATTCCTGCTTGCTACAGATGGGCCAATATAAAAAATATGCTCTTAATAATGTCTATTTTGAAATGTTTTACCTAAACTTACTCTAAATTCAAAAATAAAAAAGGTCGGGGTAATCAACAAAATAATCCAGATCCGGAGAATGACCGATTTGCATAATTAGATTTCGGACAAATTTATCCTATCTTAACACTATAATAATGTTTATTTTTCTGAGGTAGTTTTTCGACCTCAGGTTGAAAAACACTGCTTTAAAGGATTACTTTTCGGCAACGGCAGACGACAACTCGGCAACGCGTAGAGCCATCGAAATTCATCGAATTGGAAATTAAAACGATAAAGATACTCAGGCAGATCACAGGCTTCACAGTTTATTTACTGCATAAAAGCTTTGACTTACGACTTTGACTTTAACTTTGTGATGTGGGGTATCGTATGAATGGGTTTAATTGGGATACTCATAAACAGATTTTTATTTGTATTTTTTTATGATGAAAAATGAAAAGAAAACCTACAAGTTTGCTTGAAACCCTCAGTGCGCGAGTCCAACTCGCACTTTGCCGGTTTTCAGACAGACAGTGTTACTTTCGCTGTCTGTCTCTCTTTCACGCCTAAACTACTGAACCGATTTTGATGAAATTTGGCATAGAGATAGTTTGAGTCCCGGGAAAGGACACAGGATAGTTTTTATCCCGGTTTTTGAAACAGGGACGCGCGCGATATAGTTTTTCTGTGACAGACAAAATTCCACGCGGGCGAAGCCCGATTTTTTTCCGTCCCGCCCGATTGATTTCAATCCTCGCCATATTTATTTAGGTGATCTATTATTATGTCTTATATGTATAAACGCATTATCCACAAAAAAAAATTACGAACGAAAGTGGAATTTTTAGCGAATATTTTCCGTGTGACATCAACTGTACTGTGGCACGCAATGCTGCAATACGTTTACACTGCGGCACCATCGAGCTACGCGGATCGTTCGCTTAACATGTCGGATAGCCTAATGAAGAAATCCACGTAAAGTAGGTAGTGTAAATAGGTATTTTTCTTTGACTAACTTAAGTTAAAGTTCGTTTTAAATTTTTTTCGAAGTTAATTTTTTTACTGATTCGTAATCAGAATAATCTACTTAATCAAATCCCTAAATATGACGAGGATTGAAATGAACACCCTGTATTATTTATGTTGTTAGTGTCGTGAGTTGTGTGCTTGAATCCTTGCTCTTGATTCTACGGCAGTATCAGTCACGCACATTTTTACTCCATAAGTATGTACCTACTTTTATTTTGTTTCAACTTTAAAAAGTTAAACGAACGAACAATGGTATCCAGCGGAGTCAGTTGATGGAAAACTCTTAGCCTAGGCGCAGACCATCGATTATTCGTCGGCCGATAGTTTAGTCGGGCAGTTGATATGTATGGGCATGTATGGAAGTGCGCACATTACACCGATTTGATTTGGCCGATTCTTCATATAATTTAAAATCGGGCACAACAACTATCGGCCAACTAAAAATCGGTGGTCTGCGCCTAGTCTTAGACTGGGTTGCATCAATAAACTTTAACAGTAACTATAACTTTAACCGGTGTTTTTGTACGGAGTTTGACAGACTTTTATCATAGGCTGAGTTGCACCATCATACTTTAATTTCAACAAACGTCAAAGGTCTGTCAAACTCCGTACAAAAAACACCGGTTAAAGAAATAGTAACGGTTAAATAAAATAAGGTGGTGGAACTTAACCTTATTTTGTTATTTTAAAGTAAAATGATGCAACCCGTGCAATTTACCCTTCTAATCCAACAAATATTTACCTGTTACCTAATCCGTACCGGGAGTAGCGAAATAAGTCAACAACTCATTTTATTTTAAAGAAAATTTGATTCATTCTTAGGCTAAGTTGCACCAACTTACTTTGACCGTTACTTTAACAATAACCGGTGCTTTTTGTATGGAGTTTGACTGGTTTTTGACGTTTGTTAATGTCAAAATATGATGGTGCAACTCAGCCTTAGTTTCTTAGTTATCTACCTGGTCGGGAATCGAACCCTGGACTTCTTGCCATAGTAGTCAGTTCCGAACCACCACAATAAACGGCCAACATAATATAATTGTGGGAACAAACTATTTACATAAGTACCTACCCATAAGTTTGTACGGAACCCTCGGTGCGCGACTCCGACTCGCACTTGACCGATTTTTTTTAATTTACACTTTTCGTTGAGATTTTATGCAATAAAGATTTTAAATAAATAAATATGTATAAATGTATGTATTTAAAAAGTATTTAAATATGTATTATATCCATTAAGCTAGCACCCATAACACAAGCATATTAATTGCTTACTTTGGGGCTAGGGCGTTGAAATTGTTCAAAGATATTTATAATTTTTATTTACTTTCTCACAATGTGGCATCCGATAGTGGACAGTCCATATTGAAAAAATGACAAATCGACCACCATACTTTTATAATACTTTTTTATCCATAACGCGGAAGCTCTTCTTGACTTCTTCTGCTTGATTTGTGGTTGGCTAGTAGATAATGCCACAACGCATTAAGTCAGCTAAATTGTACAGACGACATCTGATAATATGATAATAATCAAATATTAAACAAGTTGTTTGAATTTAGAGCTAATACGTAGCAATGTGTGGCTTTTCATGCAATTGTGGCGCCCAACGTGGGGTTGCGTATAGCTAAATAGAATAAATTGTTTACAGTTTGGAGTAAAATTAAATAAGAATAAGATTTTTATTCGTGGTAGCTCAAGTGGTTGTCGCTACTTTTTACATCCTTCCTACTAATATTATAAATGCGAAAGTTTGTGTGGATCTCTTGATGTCTGTTACTCTTTCACGCAAAAACCCGTTCAGAAGTTTTTGATGAAACTTTACAGTATTATTGTTTATAACCCAGAATAACATATAGGCTATAATTTATGACGATCTGTGACAAACTAAATTTCACGCGGGTGAAGCCGCTTGCAAAAGCTAGTCCTATATACATATAAGTGGACCGCAGCGAAGTCCGCGCTTGCGGTGCGCCTAAGTTCTTACGAATCTTACATAACCCATAGATGCCCTTCAACTAAGTTTGTAAGCATGTGTCCTTAAAAAACTTAAATAATACATTTTGTGGAATTAATTAGTCTTTTCTATTACTAACAATAATGTTTAGACTTCGGTCATCAAGATTTTTTATCTCATCATCATTTCAGCCATAGGACGTCCACTGCTGAACATAGGCCTCCCCCAATGCTTTCCATGTTGATCGATTGGTAGCGGCCTGCGTCCAGCGCTTCCCTGCTACCTTTATAATGTCGTCGGTCCACCTTGTGGATGGACGTCACACGCTGCGTTTTCCGGTACGCGGCCTCCATTCCAGAACCTTGCCCCATCGGTCGTCAGTTCTGCGTACTATGTTCCCTGCCCATTGCCACTTCAACTTGCTAATCCGTCGGGCTATGTACTTTAGTTCGTTGACGTTTAGTTTTTTATCTGCCTACTTGTATATTTTATCAACCTGTAAGTAGTAACATTTATTTCGGTCATGTCATCATTAAATGCATTGTTTAAACGATTTGATAAGTGTAATAACTACATAGTTGGTATAATAGTGAGAACATACCTTAAACGTGACGTCGATCGACAGATAACTACTGATTGGAGCTCTCCCTTTACTATAATTAAACATTAAACAATTAGAACTAATTTAATAAACGATGCGAAAGACGTCAATGCTGTATTTATTTATACATCAACTATTTTTGTATGTAATTAGGTACCTATATTTGCTTAGTTTAGTTTGAAGATAAAAAGTAATTTTTTTTGTTTATTTGTTTGCTCTTTCAAATTCGTTTTGAGATGACGTCAGTAAATTTTATTGTGCGTTTGTAAGACCGCACTTTTTATTATATTTAGTACTTATGTAATCTAAGTTACGGTTATTTTTATAGTGAAAGTCCATGACATGTGGTGACAAGTTAAACTAGTAGGGCTATATTTCACCGGGACACCATGGCGGCGCAACCAGTCGCCGGCTACCAACAAAATGTATGCAGCTCTATAGAGAGTTAGGGCTATATTTCACCGGGACACCATGGTGGCGCAACCAGTCGCCCGCTACCAACAAAACGTATACAGCTCTATAAAGTGTTACTCACCTGGTGTCCGTTTGGTTGCGCAAAGCTGTATACATTTTGTTGGTAGCGGCACTAGCGGCGACTGGTTGCGCCGCCATGGTGTCCCGGTGAAATAAAGCCCTTACTCACCTGGTGTCCGTTTGGTTGCGCAAAGCTGCATACATTTTGTTGGTAGTAGGCGACAGGTTGCGCCGCCATGGTGTCCCGGTGAAATATAGCCCGTAGAGACCATCATTTGGTCATTTATGCCCGTTTTCACCATAAATCCCTAATTTTTAAGTGACCCCTATGGTAACACATAATAGGATTTTTTTTCATTAGGGTCACTTAAAAATTAAGGATGGTGAAAACGGGCATTAGTCTCATTTCTACAGGAATATGACCCTCTCTGTTTATCAGAGGCAAATGGAGCCAGGCAACATACTACAATGGCCAGGCGGGTTGTAAAGGCCTGATGTCCGCATATTCGTTCTTGACTTACGAACTTTTTAGGTACTACCTGAAGGTTTTACTCGTAGACTAATTCAGGTAACTAAAGCTTATCTACAGGTGTCATTTAAATACTTGATAAAAAAAAGGGTTACTACTACTCAAACACGACTATTTTTCCAAAATTAGGTCTTCAATTTTTTTTTAAATTACCCATATTTTGATATTGGTCCTGTAGGAAAAGTAGTTGTTTTTGAGTAGTGAATCAACCCACCAATCAAATATATAATTACATAATAAAATAATAACATTGAATAGTGCCCGTTTTCACCATCAATCCCCAATTTTTAAGTGACCTCTATGAAAACAAAATGCCTGTTATGTGTTACCATAGGGGTCGCTTAAAAATTAAGGATTGACGGTGAAAACGGGCATAGGTCCTTTAAAATATTATGACTCCCAAAGTTGCTAGGACTTTTTTTTATTTAGGGATCCGTGAAGTGCTAATTTTTGTTCAAGTCCTCCTCTTAGCTAAGCTTGGAAAAATCTGGAAATATTCTTGAACATGGTGCTTTTTACGAACTTTTAAGGAAAATTATAGTTGAGATGAATCAGTTAGTTCATGAGTAATAGTCGTTCAAGACGGGCAACTACGGAAATCTCTACGCGTGGTACGACACGCCAAGTGTTTTTTTTTGTTTGATCAAGTATACAATTACCCTGTTTAACAAAGCTACATAGGACTGTGTAATTTAAAAAATCTACTACTAATCGACTTTGAAATGAGTAATCATTAATATTATGTTCATTATGGCATCTGTTGTTTTTTGTATAATTATGAACTTTTTTAACAATTAGTTAAAAAGAAGATTTGGTGAAATTGTATACTTATTTGTAATTAACGATTAATGTTGTAATTAATTTAAAGACGCTGATTTGGCGTGGATTATTTTTTTAATCCTGAAATAACGATTGATATTATTGCACTATAAGCTAAAAAAATAATTAATGAATGTTTAAAATATAGATGTTGCATAATTTTTGTATGAAACATTTTATAATTAATTTATTACAGAGCAGCGTAGCGGCCAAGTGAAATAAAAACGATGAAGTCCTGTAATTTTTAAAATATTTTTTTATAACTTTATTTTATTTATTGTTATCATAAATAAGTGCCACCAGTCGTTTAAATTGAATAAAATATTTTTGATTTTGATCCTAATCGATTTTTTAATTTAAGATTTTTTCTAAACCTGAAAAAAAAAAAGGTCTGCAATCCGGTTCGAAATAAAGTAATATCTTTGGTTATTGCTCTAATAAAAACTATCATGATTTCAAGACTATTTTTTTTTGTGCTTTACAAAAAAACTTAAAAAACTTTTTTGTAGACGGTACGCCAGACTAGTTAGCGCTGCGGACCGTACGCGCCATAGGTCGGAGGAGCTTTTTTGAACACGTGAGTCTAGATACGGCGCGACGCCTCAGTCCCGCGCGGAAGGCCCCACGGTGCGGTCGCGTGATGCCGTCGCCTCCTACGATCGCGCTCTCGAACTCGAAAACCCGGTAAACATGTGACCGACAACAAATATCATAGAGTAAAAATACCGAAACAAACTTTTTTGAGGTTACTTTTTTTTTTCTACTCAAAATTTTGACACTTGCCCAGAGCGCGGAATCTGTAGTTGCATAACAATGCAGTGAAGGCCGAAGGAAAAGTTGCGTTCTTAGTGTTTGTAAAGTTTTCCCAGCGGCCGCTCGCTCGGTGAATTTCGACTTTTTCAGTGCACGCGTACGGTTTTTCGAGTGCCTGTTACGAAACGCCGAAATACGTCGCTTACCTTTACCACGGGGACTGTTAGCCGATAATTGTCGGGCGAAATTTCTTTTGGCACGGATTTGTGTGCGTTCGTCTTTAGCCGTTTTACACGTCGATTTGTGTAAACATTTGGGGCGATTCTTTTTATCGGCGTACTCACTTAGTGATTTATTGTGGGTCACAAAATTACTAAAGTTTTTTCGGTGTGAATTACTCTCTGATGTTTGAGTGATAGGTGCTGAGTGGTGTGCTATAACGTGTGTGAATTTCAGCTCTACAGCCGTTGGGAAATAGCTGCTGTATCAGTTACCTTCCTTGTGTGATATAAAACCAATAGTAAGACGTGTTTATATTACAATAACCACAACTGAACTTAATACACTCGGAAACGGTAAAAGTGACACAGTTGACAAACGGGTGGTTTGTCGATGTATTAACTATATCGATATTGTCGATAGTGTTCGATATCTTACCGAAAGTGTAATCTGCGAAAGTGATTTGTTTGCTGACGCTACCACGTGACGGCTTTAACGGTAAGTGATTTTAAAATTTTAACCCATCTTCAAAAAATTTTGGTGACTTTTCTAATATTTTATTTCTTAGGGTTATCTTGAATTTCGTGGGACATCTAGGTTAGTTACAAAGTTTCAGTCGCGATTGAGAATTTTTGGAAAATTGAAAAGTTGTTAATATAATTATTTGCAATTTTATTGTCATGTCTGTTTTAAATAATGAATAGTCGTTAGGTTTTTTTTAAATTGGAAACGAAATGAAAATAAGGCTAAGATAACTTCTGTAGTCTTTAAATAATTTAATACAGGAGCTCATGTAGGCTGTTAGCTAAAATAAAATACAATGTTTATTTACGGATTATTTAAACGACTGGCCATTTTTTCCTTATTTTATAAAATCTGTTGACTTTGGCTGCAAACATAAATTGAAAACGAAAGTGCAACGTGAAAGTAAAATTGACAGAGATTTTTCCTCTTATCCCAATGTAGTAGATATTTACTCGTACCTAAAGTATTTTTATTACATCTTAATGATTTTTTAAAATGCTAAAGCTACATATAGATATTTAATTAATAAACAATAATTTTATAATATATTGACATAAACTTAAAATTTATTTTTTTTGTATTTTTTATTTTGTAAATAGTTTTTATCATTAGTAATTTTTAAATGCTAAAGCTTGTAGTCAAATTAAAAGAAAACCTAAAATTTTGTCATCTCGAGTTACATAAAGTGACTGGTTTTATGCTTTATTGATAGCTTTTCTTACATTCTTGGCCGCTTTAAACAAATGTTTATTTTACATTTCACGGTTTTCTAAAGGTTAACATGTTTATACCTTTTAACCTTTAATAAAATGTAGGTTAATAAGTGGTAGAGTAAGCTCTACTTAAATTGGAAAGTTTCTAAGTCCTGAAAAGTGTGTATTCTAGTAAAGAATTTAGTAGGTAACATTATCAATAGTAGAACAAATAACATTATATTTCAAAGGTAATCGAATTAGATTCCTTTTTTTGGAAAGTGTTCTAACAATGACCTATTTTAATTTTAGAAGGAAAGCAAAAAAGCAAATTTTTTTACTGTGTAGTTTTTGATTTTAGTTTCCGTACTGTAACGTTGAAACTTGTGTGTGATATTTGTTACTGATACAATATTCTAGGGAATGTTCCCAGCAATGGTCCTAAATGTTCCTGCTCAATAGAAACATTAAGGGAACTCTACCGGGATTTTCTTTGACGTAGAAATGTTGAGGAATGGCACATCCCTACGAATATTTAAATAGCTTGAAAAAATCAAATTGCCTCGTAGAAATTTCGACGGGTCCACCTAATTTCTAAGTAGCTTATAGTTAAGAACAGTCGCCTCGCAAGCGAATGGTCGTGGCTTCGATTCCCACCTTAGACAATCCGAATTTTTCAAGTTATGTAAAAATTTAGTTTTAGATGTGACTCTGAACGCTAGAAAACTTTAATAACTATCTGTACGAATGACATACCCGTACTCACAAACGATGCTTGCTTAAGTGAAGCAGCAAATCGAACGTTGCGTTGGCGTTGAATAGAGCTCTGTGATTGGTTCGTGTGTGACTCTGTGCGTACACGCGCACTGTGAGACCTCATAGTAATTGTGAATACGGGCGACATGCGACAGTAAGTTTTAAACTTTCAGCAGTCTGTGCTGAAACTGTGAGCGTAGTGACCTCGACCGCACTATTGCAACTAAAAATAATGTTTCAAATTCTCTAGCATGTAGAATTAGTAAATACTAATTCTACATGCTAGAGAATTTGAAACAATTAGCCTATCTATTTAGATAGGCTAATTGTTATCACCGTTTTTGTGATTGTTATGTCATGATGACTGAAAAATTAAAAGCATTTAAAATTTTGCAGTCTTTACACGTAGGTACGTAGGTTACATGATTTTTTTCAAAACTTGATATAATCGAATTGCCTGAAGTGGGAACCCACGATCTTTCAAGATGTATTCAAGTTATTTTTTTAGTTTGAGATGTAACTTAACTTTAGACAATTTTATGGGTAGTTTTGACGTTTTTTTGATTATGACGTGACGGAACATAACACATCTGGAGTCTCGCTGACATTGACGTAACAAAATACCCTCCTTTGCCGCTGCCATATCTCAAGCACTGTCTGAGTAATGTACTACACCTTAGTACATACGATACCACAATTAAGCCTGAAATCGCCACTATACAATCATCATCATCATCATCTCAGGCACAGGACGTCCACTGCTGAACATAGGCCCCCCAATGCTTTCCATGCTGCCCGGTTGGTAGCGGCCTGCGTCCAGCGCCTTCCTGCTACCTTTATGATGTCGTTAAGTCCACCTTTTGTGTGGACGTCTCACGCTGCCTTTTCCGGTACGCGGCCTCCACTCCAGAACCTACATACAATAACATTCCGTAAAAAGAAATGTGAAGACGCGTAATATCTAACACTGATTTAACGCGATAAGCGATGAAAGCATACAATGTACGATAACCGTACAAATTACTTATCGCTGGCCCGCTTGTGTTATCAGTTATCAGCTCCAAATATAGCGGAAGCCAGGCAATGATAGATTGGTTGTCAGGTATCACTGTGAGGCTAGATCTAGAAGATTTAGGGATAAGAAATGTATTGTTAACCCACATAGAAGAGGATTATTAGGCTCTGGTCTTCTATAAGCGCCGTAGGCCGCGTGCGCAGTGTTTAGGGTTGCCAGCCGGACATGTTTGGATTTTTACGGCCTTGTCCGGCTAACAAACGGCCTAAAAAGGCCAAAGCCTAACAAAGGCTTTTCATGTGACTGCCGCGCCAGGCGAAAGTCGAGAGAATAATATGAAGCGCACGCATCAGGATGTTGGGCAACCGATGATGGTAGTACTCACTCGTGAGCTATGACATTAAAAGAATGAAACATGTATCCTTAAGAGCAATTGACGATTTGTAAGTACATTACTAATTTAATTAGCATATAAGTAATACAAATAAAGATATTTTTGATTTTGTCCTTTAGACGCCCTTTATGACATCCACGGGAGAGTGGTGTAGTCGATTTTTATCCCGATTTTTGAAACTGCTGAACTGGGAAATAAGCCTTTCTGTAACAGAGCGAAATTCAAGCGGGGAAATCCGCAGGAAAAGCTAGAATTTAATAATGTACACGTGGTTAGTAATAAGGGTCTTCTTTTGAATGGCATTTTTTGTGTCTACCATTTAAATAATTATTTTAATTAGTGCCCAATGAGATTAAATATCTTCCCTAAACCGGTACCACCAAATTCTCGGTTCGATTCCGTGCGAGCGCGTCGTTCGAGTTTGAATTTACAATGTTGCAGAAGTGTACCAATCAAGATTATACAGGATGGCCCAAAATTTTTTGGAAATAGCAACGCTTGATATCTAGAAATCGGCTCGAGGTAGGGATCCGAGAGTGATGGGAAACTGTGCAGCATAATTTCATAAATTTTTAGTCACTATGGAGCGCTTCATAAAACAAAATCGTGCTTTTGTTGTTAATTTTTTCGTATAGTTCCATACAAATCATTGCTTTGGTAAAAAATACACAAAAAGAACGCTGTTTTCTCATGAAACAGTTTCCCATTACTCACGCGTTTCTACCTCGAACCGTTTTCGAGAAATCAAGTGTTGCTATTTGCAAAAATTTTTGACTCACCCTGTAATATATTAAATATTCACCATCTGTGTAGCTGGTGGCAGACTTAACGAGACACCACGTCTGATATAATTCGATGGAAACTGATTTTTTTTAGCTATTGCCTGATGAGTTCCTTTAATGTCGAGTTCAAACTAATTTAATATTTTTTCTAATTTAACTAGACTGGGAATCTTGGGAGTTATTGCTTTCAAGTTGATTCACTGCTATTCCCTGTCCTTTAAACTTTAGGTATACACAAGACCCATAAAATTTGAGAATCTGGTTTACTTTTATTTTATTAATAATTAAGTAGTAGTAGTGTAGTGAACTACTAGTAGTGCTTACAACACCTTAAGATCAACAAGTTGACTAATTAAATCTTGTTCTGTTTTAATTACAACATTTCTTAACCTGTTCGCCGCAACAGGTATTGTCGCTTTCATTAATGAATTATTTACAAAACATTGATTAAAAACGTTAAGTTTAATTATAAAACATAATATTCAGACTGGGTCGGTGAATTGTGTTGCGTAAATACATAAATATAACCTAAACAAAATCCTTAATTCCTCTCAAAGCATCAAGGAACGTCTTCATCATCATCATTTCAGCCACAGGACGTCCACTGCTGAACATAGGCCTCCCCCAATGACTTCCATAATGATCGGTAGGTAGCTTAAGGCACGTCTTAGCTTAAACTTAAGTCAGTATTCTGAAACCATACTCAAGTATGAATTTTATTTGCTGACATTTTCTAAAATTAGCAGCAGAAGTTGAATTGATTGTGAGCTTAATGTGCATTCTTTGACGTTTAAAATTCTCAATCATGTGTACTAGAGGTACTATAATAAAATAGCTATTATGCCATTGACTTTTTAATTGATATTGTAGCTTTTGAATATATTTTATCACTTAAAAATTAACTAAAAAACACAGTAACAGAGTCACAGTACTTAAGATAAATTACCTAAAGCTCATTTTACATGCAAAATTCTCCAATCTACGAAAATTGATATCCATCTCTATAATAAACCATCCATTTAACAAATAAACATACAGACGTAGAAAATCAATAGCCGAAAAGTCAATTAACCTTAATTTTGGTGTGAGCCCTAAAATGCTGCTCGTAAATAATCATAAATAAAAGTGAGAGAGGTATTCACAAGCTCTCGTCTCTACAAGCTGAATAATTAAGTGCTAATGCTGATATTAAAAAAACCGGCCAAGTGCGAGTCGGGCTCGCGCACAAAGGGTTCCGTAGCAGCAAATATAATAAACTTATTATGTCAATTTATACACCTGGTGAATGGAGCCTAAACTCTCCCGATATTTTGCCTTGTACTTTTATGTATGAA